CGTGCGTGCGTGCGTGCGTGTGTGTGTGTGTGTGTGCGTGTGTGTGCGTGCGTGCGTGCGTGCGTGCGTGCGTGCGTGCGTGTGTGTGTGTGTGTGTGCGTGTGTGTGTGTGTGTGCGTGTGTGTTCGCGCGCCGGAGCTCGGGCGCGGCATGGCACGCGGGCACGGCACGGCCTTAGTGGGCCCTGGAAACGACAGGGCCGTTTTTTTACCGGTTCCGTTCTGCCGTTTTTCTGCCGGTTCCGACGCCGTTTTTTTACCGGTTCCGTCGCGGTTTTTTGACCGGTTCCGGCTCCGGTTCCAATCCTGGAGCCGTTTTTTGTTGCCGTTTCCGGTCGCCGTTTTTTTGCCGTTTCCATTTTCTAGGGACATTTTTTTGGGAAACGGTGAAAAAACGGCCCTGCCGTTTCCAGGGCCCACAAAGGGCACGGCACGCTGGAGGCCCGGAAGTCCAGCACCACAACACCAACACAGGGGGGTGCGTCCACGGGGGGGGGATGGTCATAGCTGTCCGGTCGCAAATCATGGGGGCCTGGGCTGCCCTCGCTGTTTTTTGTCTTCGCGTCGACTGGCGCCGGCTAGCGTCCGGGAGTCGATGAGGTAGCGCTGATTCAGCGTCGGCTAGCGTCGATTAGCGTCGATTTAGCGTCGATTGGCGTCCATTTAGCGTCGACCAGCGTCGATTCGCAAGAGCCGACAAGATGGTGTGGGAGGCTCCCATGACTGAGTCGCCACCGAACAGCATCAACACAGGGGGAGGGGGCATCCACGGGGGGAGGATGATCATAGTGTTTGGTGTTGGTGGTGATATTTCGGCCACTTAGGAAGCTCGAGACTTACCACCATCACCGGGATCACGATCATCTTCCCTCGGTGGAGGCACACCGCCGATACTGGTTTTGGTGCCACCGACCTCCAGGCATGTGCGAGTGGGTCCACGAGCGAGCCCGTGCGGTGGCCCTGCGAAGGGCCCCGAACGTCATTCCTTTTTGTACGATCGTGCGTCTTCCGGGCGGCGTCTCCCACGAAATTCATCGAATTGACCCGAACCCCGGATGCGCAACAAAATGCCTTTGAAATCCGTGGCGAACCTGGAATCCGGCGCATTCCCAACGAGAAGGAGGAGGACCAATGTGCACAGCGCGAAGCGCCAACGTAGTCTTGTATATACGTAGCACCCCGCAGTCGCGGATAAGGGTGAGGGGGCGGCGGGGACGTCGGCAGTCTGCGAGGCTGGACTTCTTTTAAGACGCTTTACGTCAAAAGTGAGGCTCCCGCTCGAGACATCCTCGAAAAAGTGAGATATCCAGGGATCTCGCGAATTCGTCGAAATCTTAAAAATGAGGCTCTCGCTCGAGACATCCTCGAAAAAATGGGATAGTGGACGGGCTGCTTCGAGACGTCTTCAGTTCAAAATGGGGGAGGGGAGGGGCGGGGAAGGGTGGAAGGGCAAGCTGGGTGCGCTCGCGTCATACCTGATGTCCGACTCCTCCCACCATCCTTCTCAATTGCGCGGATTGTTTTTCTCCATCCGCCACGGGCGTCATAGCGGACGTGGACCCCCCGAAATGACCCCATCACGTTGCGCGCTCTGAAAATGGGAACTGTGTGCGTTGGAGGAGAAGGGGGTGGCGAATAATGAGGAGGATTAGCATGACGAAGAGGATGAGGATGAGGAAGGAGGACGAGGCGGAACAGCAGCAGCAGGAGCGCGAGGAACGGGAGGAGCAGCAGGACCAGGGGAAGGCGGAGGAGGGGACATTAGCGGGGCGAGAACGACGAGGAAGGACTTGAATCCAGAATTGTTGCCCACGCTGGGGCGAGAGCGCCATTCTGAACGACGGGAGCACCGCGCCGATCCAAAAATGATGCCACCGCTGCAGTGGGAACACCGTATTGAAACACAGAAAACGTTCCGGTTGAAAGAAACTAGATGGACAATCAGCGTTTGAATTCCTGGGCTCGGGTTGGATCCGGTGAGAGAGGAGAGTCAGAGGGAGTGGTGGGGACCCCCCTCCTCTCACCCCCCACCTGCCCATCTCATCTTCCGTCTGCAGATGTCGATAACCTTTTGTCTAGGCGGTCTCGCCCAGCTGGCAGGGAAGCGTGCAAGAGCGCACGGTGGAGAGCTCTGGCCGAGGAGCAGGAGGAGGACGAGGAGGAGCAGGCAGAGGAGGAGTAGGAGCAGGGAGGCGGGCTTCGCCAACATCGAGTCTTTTCTTTCGCTGTGCATGTCTGAGCTGTGCACCCTCCCCTCCGCCACATCAGCCGCGACCCGCACTCCGCCCCGCGACCCGAGGCAGTGCGCCCGCACCTGCCGCGTGAGGGGCTGTAGGCTCCTGCCCGT